CCATCATAGTTTTAATATATCATGAGTCAGCAAAAGAAATTAAATGGAAATTTTTTGAGAGTTTTGTAGAAGCCATGGATGACATGTGAAGGCCAGCAGATGACACAGTTTAAAAACTAAGAAATGTATGAAATATATGTAGAGTATTTTTACTTAACAATGACCTACCTATAGCCTATAACCAAATACTTAACCCAAATTTTACAATAAGGTACTATAAACATCCTATAAAAGAAAAAGAAAAAATATTTAGATTTCTTCTCTAGTACAAAAGGAGAGCCAAGAAATTTTACATGGATTTTCCAGATCACAGGGGCACTGCATCCCTAGTTCCTGCTATGTAGAAGAGATAACTATATTTTATTTCCCCGTCTGTTAATCTGGGCAATTCAAATTTTTACAAATATTTATCTATTTCAATTAGATTGTCAGTTTTACTGACATGTAGTTGAGCAGTTTTTCTTTCATCATCATTAGTTATGAATAAAACATTGTTGATACCAGTAATTTCATTTTCTTATTTGTTTCCTTAATCAAATTAGCCAATGGTTTATCTATTTTATTGATTGCTCCCCCAAAGAAAAAGCTCCTAGTTTTATTAGTTCATGTGTGTGTGTATGTATGTATATGTATATATATTGTTTATTTATATATATATGCATATATATAATATATATATATATTATATATATATATATAGAGAGAGAGAGAGAGAGAGAGAGAGAGAGAGAGAGAGAGAGAGAGGAGAGAAAGAGAGAGAGAGAGTCTTCTCTGCCACCACAGTAGTTTTTTATAGTCATTCTTTTTTTTCTTGCTTGCTCATTTTTCTAGCCTACTTCTTGACTTTGTACTTTATTTTCACAATGGTTTCTGTACATATCTGTGTGGTGGATGCCTGGCCTGAGTGTTTATCTTTTCTGTTCTTCTGCTGCTTTCACAGTTCAGTCTGGGGGCCTGCAAGTTTTCACAACACAGGATCCAGGAAGAAGTCTGTTACATTATCATTTGTGCTTGCATTCTGCAAATTCCTGACCCAGTTTGAGTCTTTTGGCTTGCATATGGTTCAATTTCCATAAAATGCTGCTGGACTTAATCATAGTATACATATAGGTCAATAGGAAGTTCTGCAGGTTCAAAGTGAATGAACTGCTGGTTCCCTCTTGGTTGTGGTCTCCTTCCCTGGTTTATTCAACTGTAGGCTTATGTGCAAGACTAAAGGTTAGAACTGAGTCTCCAGTCTACTCTTGGGCTTAAAAGCACACAGCTATTTTTTTCTGGAAACTGTCCCTTCCTCCTCACACAGGCAGGGTCCCTGCTCCCTTGCCTCTGCAACCAATCCTCTCCATCCTGGAACTATGACCCAGAACAGGTACTGGATGACAAAGCTGCCAGTTGCCCTCTGTTCCTGCTTCCAGTGCAAGTACAAGGGTCCCCTGGGATCTCTCTCTGTCCAAATATTCAGTCCTCTTACCACCGCTGGTCACTAGGCTGCTCCCCACTGCTTCCACAGCCACAGACCACTGCTACAACTGGTGCTATATAATTGGCCAGCCCCACCTCAGTGTGCTCAGACCTCTCTATCTGCCCTGGGCTAGAAAAGTGACTCACTGTAACTTTTTCTTGGCTTTCTCAATCAGAATTCAACCATGTTCCCTTTATAGGTCATTATGGAGGAAAATATGAAGAAACTAAGACAAAACTACTACCTATCACTTCACCATTTCACTCTCCCTCTCTAGGTGCTCTATTATAGATTTTTAAAAGATACATCTAGGAGATGAAGGGAGGAAGAGAAACTAGGATGAATAAAAAGCACAGTATGATCACAGAAGAACAGTTGTCTGGAACAATGTAGCTCAGAATGAGCAACAGCAAGTTTAAAAAAAAAGCTAAGAAAACAAAAATGAATTGTTGTCTTTATTTAGAGGAAAAGAGCAAGTAAAGGATTAGACCCAAAGGATTTGGGTACATGGGACAATAATACCCAATAAAAAGGAGAGCATACAGTTGCTTAGTTTTTTATTTTGCTCCTGTTTTCTCTGCAAATGAGATACAAAAAATCTAATTAATTGGGAATAATATGATAACTGTGAGTAAAAACATAGTAAAAGAGCATCTGATTGTCCTGGATAGGTTCAGATCTCAATGCTCAGATGATGACCAGTCATGTCAGACAAATTTGAATTCCTTTAACTGAAAGGGTTACAACTTGGGTAGATCAAAGGTCAGCTGTAAAAATAGTTTATCTAGATTTTAGCAAAGTATTTGACAACATATCTCATTCTGTTTTAAAGGTAAAACTGATGAGAGGGTGGGGCAGGAAGGAAGGCAATGATCATTTATTCAGTGTCCACTATGTGCCAAGCATGATGCTAAGCATTTTTAAAATGTTCTTCTATCTTATCCTCACAACAATCTTGAGAGGTAGGTGCTATTATTATCATCCACATTTTACAACTGAGGAAACTGAGATACACAGAGATTATGTGACTTGTCCAGCATCACACAGTTAAGTAGTTTCTGAGGCCACTTTTGACCTCATGCCTTTCTGACCCCAGGCTCAACACTCTACTATGTGCCACCTAGCTGCTTCAAAAGGCACAAGTTAAATGTAGATGAATTCAGATCTAGTTCAAGGGCCAAACCCAAAGAATGGTCTTTAATATCAATTTTGGAAGCAGTCTTTACCATCCAAAAAGAGGGAAAAGGGCCTATTTGTATAAAAATATATATAGCAGCTCTTTTTGCTTTGTGCTAAGAATCAGAAATACAAAGGATACCCATAAATTGGGGGATGGCTAAACAAGTTGTGGCACATGATTGTAATGGAATATTATCGTGCTGTAAGAAATGACAAGCAGGATGATTTCAGAAAAACCTAGAAAGACTTACGTGAACTGATATATAGCGAAGTGAACAAAACCAGGAGAATGTTGTACATAGTAACAGCAATATTGCATGATGAAGAATTGCAAATGACTTACTATTCTCAGCAATACAATGATCCAAGACAATCTCAAAGGAGTAATGATGAAGCATACTATCCGCCTCCAGAGAAAGTACTGATACTGTTTGAATACAGACTGAAGCATGTTATTTTTCACTTTCTTTAATTTTTTCTTTTATTCAAGTCTTCTTGTACAAAATGATTAATATGGAAATGTTTTATGTAATTGCATATGTATAACCTGCATCTCAGGGAGGGAGGGAGCAATAAAATTTAGAATTCAAAACTTTAAATAAAAATGTTAAAAAAAATTGAAAGAAAAAAAAAGAGATCTTTAGTGGCTTGTCCTAGAGATCTATCTTTGCCTCTGTCCCTTAAAATATTTTTATCAAGGAGCTAGATAAAGACATCAGTGGCAAGATTTTCAATTTAGTAGATGACACAAAACTATGAAGGATAACTAACACAAGAGAGTAAGTGTTTAAGAAGAGTATATCAGGATAAATCAAGTAAGATGAAATTTAATAGGAATAAACATAAAATCCAATACAGATTTAAAAAATAAGTTTTGTAAGTAAAAGAAGAAGGAGCAATTTACTTGAAAGAGAATAAGAAGTTTTAGTGGACTAGAAGCTCACTATGACAATAATTTGATTAGCCAAGAAAGCTAATGCAATCTCTGGCTACAAGGCATTCAGTAATAAGATGACTGTCCAAATGTACTTGGTCCTGGTCATATCAGATCTGCCAAATCAGGGTGTTAAAATAACACCAATCATTAAACCCCTGGATATTAGACTTAACAGGAGAATAACACCGATGCCTTCAAATGTTTAAAAGGGTGTCACAAACACTGTGTCACACATACAAAGTAATAAGGAGCAGAGAAGGAACACTGACAGATGGAGATAGAAAAGGGCTAGAACGTAAGACCTTGTATGAGAGGTAGCACTTCAGTTGAGCTTTGAAAGAAGTTCGAGATTCCAAAAGGCAAGGAGAGAGTACCTTCCAGACATGGGAGACAACTTGTACAAATGCATGGAGATAGGAGATGGACTGTTGTGTTATTTATTTTGTATGCTTATTTACTTATTTCTGTAACTGTTGGATCCTTCCAATGACCACAGAATGTAAGGTTGTTTCCATCTTTTTCTTTGAATTCTCAGCACCTAGTATAATGTATGACACGCATATTGGGACTTCAGGGTTATTATCATAAGAAAAATGCTTTGCAAATGTTAAGACACCCGATAATGGAAGTTACTGCTACAAAGTCTAAGTTTATACAGTTACCAGTAGAATTCTAGGCTCCCTCCCCAAAAAAATCAGAAAAAATGAAAGGCTAAAGAAACAAACACCTCAGCATTTCAAAGTTCTCTACTAAGAGAATAACACTTTAGGCCCTTAAAAAAGTGAGACTTAGTGAGTAGGAAGTTAATATGACTTTAAAGTAGGTATATATGCTTAAAATAAGTTATCTTGGTGTATGCTCAGCTTCTTTTAGAAAATCAACAAAGAAAAAAATTCAAGTTCATCACTGATACTTTCTACAGACACCAGTTTTCTTTATCAAAAACTGTACTGTTTTGCTATGGCTTCATTCCTGAAGGTAAAGGATAGCTAGAAAAAAACTTGATGAAAAAGCTATTTTGGTGATTTTCCTCAAAAGAAAAAAAAGTCCCTGAATTTGTAATTAACCAATGTTAGTACATACTGTTCAATTTAGACATATACCTCTACTCTCTTAACAACTGATCAATTGTATTTCTAGTAATGTTCTTTTGAATATGTTTAAGTGTTTGTTGGGAAGTATCTGTTACATTAAAATAAGTTATCAATAATTTTTTGTTCAAAAAAAGATACTTTCATGCCACCTTCATTTATTTAGCTTATATCAACAAACAAAAATATATACCACTAACGCAAATACATAAAGAAAACATTTTTAAAGATCAGTATGTTAGCCTTATACTTAATGAAGCATTTGGTACTTTTTTTTAAAAGACTCTTTGGGTACTTTAAAGATATAAAAGGAATAAAACATTTAACATACCGCAGCATTCCTACTCTGTAGCAAAGGCTTTGTATTTCTAATGAGCAGTCGATGGTCCGGATCCATAGCATAAGATATCTTAATTTTGTCATTTTTTTCTTTTTGTTCTTCATCAGATTCATAGAAATCCTTTTCAATGTTCTCTTCTATGTTGTCATCCTGCAAGTAAAAAAATTAAAAAATCCAGCTCCATGAAGAAGTTCAGTTACTAAAGACTCAAATATTAAGAATGGAAACTAATGTTCAACCAAAGGACACAAAGGAGCAATGACCAAAATTCTTGGTCCCACAGTTACTTTCAGACCATTTCTTGATCATAGTCCTTCAATAATCTTTCCTTTTTTGAGACTGATGATATTAGTTCTTACTATCCTCTACCTATCCCTCTTGCTATCATCTACCAAAATCTGGGAAAATCAACCTACTTTCTCAAAAGCTCAGGTATCTGATTCATGTTCTTGCTCTCCTCAAACTTTAATGGAGATACAGCACAGGACACCCAACCTAAGAGCCCTAGAAATAGTAGACCACTAGCCCTGACTCTAGTGAAGCTCCTAATAAAATCACCAAGGACAACAGTGCTTTCTGGAGGTGTAAACTGGCAATAGATTCTTTCAATACTGTGGCCCCTAGCCTCCTCAGCAGCCACAGCTATGGAAGTTCTGGAAAAGAAAGTTCTCAATATCAAACTCCTTGCATTCTCTTCTCCCATTAGAATGCAAACTCCCAAAGCGCAGGGAAAGTCCTTTGGCCTGTATTTGTATTCCCAGCACTTATCACAATAGGTATTTTTAAAATTCCTGTTGTCTTACTGAACAAACACAGTTTATGTGCTTATTATAGGCTTGCACAACATACGGCCTGCAGACTGGTGGCAGCCCGACAAAGGATTGGGCGGCCTACAAAAAATGCCACTGCCCCCTCTCTTGTTTGTCCCGTGACCCACGGCAACCAATCATCATTAGTCTGTTTCTAGTCTAACCTATGGCCTGAAGAAGTTTACAAGTTGTGCAGGTCTGGCTTATTGTATGTGTCAAGTACTGTGGTAGGTACTGGGGATATAAAGACAAAAATCAAACAGTCTCTATTTTCAAGAGAATCTCATTCTATCGAGGAAGCCAACATGTGCATAATGCAAATATATACAAAATAAATATACAGTACTTCATGGATAGTGAAAATGAGCAATTTGAAATATCCAACAGGCATAAAATAATTTGAGAGTGGAACAACTGACATTTTAAGGACAAGGAAATGCTTCCTATTGAAGGCAACAGTAACGCTGAGTCTTGAACAATTTCAGAGATCACAACAGGTGGGGAGAAGACAGTCCATTCTAGGCAAGGAAAGACTTCTGAGTCACATGACAACAAGATAAAGGACTATTTTCTCTGATATTCCCAACTTCACAAATCTCATCAAAAATAAAAATTATACACAAGAGATAAAAACAATTGTAGTTATCTCTATGGACTAAGACACCAAGGTCCCTAAAGAGAAACTATACAAAGGAACTAAAGATGCAATCCAAGATAACACACCCTACAAACATGAGCCCATTTTCTCTCTACAAAGAAATGCCAAAAACAGACTCCATTTCAACGGTGAACAGATTAAAAGAGCAAAAATATATTTATTTCCCTATTTCAATTAGAGAATTAGTACTAGAAGAAATTATTTGAGTACAAAATTAGTCATTTCTTCTTGCTTGGTTCTTTTTATTTCAATAATGCTAAAAACGGCAAATTTCTTAGTAAATATAAATAAACATTCTCAGATTTTGGTTGGGAAAGAGGAAGTAGGGCTCTAACCAAAACGAGACATGAGATGAGAAATTATAAGATAGCTCTTATATTTGACTTGATTATTTTAAGGAAATTATTACATTTTAAATATATACTAATTAACTTCAATAATAAATTCCAAAGTGTAATATTGTCACCTTTCTTCAAATACATAAATTGTAACAAGGAAATTACTTGTCTCTTAGGAGTACTCAAAAGAAGACTGAATTGAATTACACCTCTGCATCAAAAGGAGTTGAAGTGACTCCTCTTTTATATAGCTTTAGGCCAAACTAGCTCTGTTTAGTGCATTAGTAAACCAATAAAATAACAGCTAAACAATCAAAAGCTCTAAAAGCTTAAGCACGAAGCAACAGTCTATAGTCTACTATAAAGCAAACAAACATGCCTCAGCTCCCATCAAACTGCTGCATGATGAACCAACTGTATTAACCCACTGAGCACAGTAACGAGCAATTAAAGCCCTCAAACACATGCAAAATGCCACTTTTTAATGAGCCTTCTTTCACATTTCATCCTCAGTATAAATTAATATACTTCTTTAGTACCTGAGTCTGTTATTCTGATAAAGGGCATCATGATTTTAGTTATCTGGCTTACAGAGTCACAGGTAGTAACTTTTGTAAGCAGTATGGAAGACAGATAATTTTATCCCTTAATGAATCACTTAACCTTTCTCAGACTCAGTTTATTCATCTGTAAAATACTAATAGAAGCCGTTAGCATTTCTATAACACCTAGTATGTTCCAGGAACTGCATTTCACAATTTACAACTGTGCTTTACAATTATTACCTCATTTGATCCAAACAGCTCTGGGAGGTAGGTGTTATTGTTATTCTCATACTAATAGATGAGGAAAATGAGGTAAACAGAGATAGAGAAACTTGTCCAGGGCAGAACCCACAAAAAAACGGAGTGAAACAATTTTCCAGCCAAAGACAATTTAGAAGGTCAGCAGGAAAGGTCTGTGCACATGGATGAGAGTGGAGAACAGTCCAGTGCAGGCCACACAGCACAGCACCGGCCCTAACAAACCAGAACAGGCCTTGGGAGCCCTTGAATCAGCAGTGGCAGTGGCTGCTTCTGGAGCTCTGAGCCCACAGATGGTAAAGGTGTTGAACAACTTGTCAGAAGGAGATTATAGGGGTCTTTTTGCTGGCACAAACTCTAGGCAGGACTCTGTTGCTTTGCCTATACTCAGATCTGGGTCACAGTCCTGGGTGGCAGTCCTAGGGTTAAGAGGAACACTAGCACAGCAGAGTTTGTGGCCACAGTGGAGCAGGGACCATCTTCAAAGTTCCAGGGAAGAAAACAGTGCTTATGGTGACTCACGGGCCAAAGCACAGACCAGGAGAGTAAGAAACACACCTTTCCTTAGATCATGTCACCTTGGAAGAACTGAAAACTTACAGGTCCCTAGAAGTACCTGAAAACAGCTGCACAAATCACCTGAAGCTTGGGATAGCATGCCCTTCACACCCTGGAAGTAGAGCCCTATTTGAACAAAGAGTTAAAAGTCAAGTAATAGGCTGGGAAAATGAGCAAACAACAGAAAAAAATTCTTACCAGAGAAAATTGCTGCGCTGACAAGTAAGATCAAAACACATGCTCAGAAGAAGATGACAAAGTCAAAGCTCCTACATCCAAAGCCTCCAAGAAAAATATGAATTGGCCCCAGGCCACGGATGAGCTCAAAAAGGATTTTGAAAAATCAGCTAAGAGAAGTAGAGGAAAAACTGGGAAGGGAAATAAGAGTGATAAAAGAAAATCATGAAAAATGAGTCAGCAGCTTGGTAAAGGAGACACAAAAAATACTCAAGAAAACAGCACCTCAAGGGACCAGAGGGCATGGAATATGGTATTTTGGAAGGCAAAAGAGATAGGATTACAACCAAGAATCACCTACCTGTATAATCCTTCAGGGTAAAAAAATAGTCATTCAATGAAATAGGAGACTTTCAAGCATTCCTGAGGAAAAGACCAGAGCTACATAGAAAATCTGACTTTCAAATACAAGACTCAAGTGAAACATGGAAGAGGTAAACAGGAAGGAGAAATCGTAAGAGACTTATTAAGGTTTAACTGTTTACATTGCTGCATGGAAAGATGACATTTGTAACTCATGAATCCTTTGTCAGTATTAGGGTAGTGGGAGAGAAAAAAATTATATGTATGTACAGACAGACAGATAGATAGATAGATAGATAGATAGATAGATAGATAGATAGACAGACAGATAGATAGACAGACAGATAGATAGATAGAGGACACAGGGTGAGTTGAAGATGAAGGGGTAATATCTGGAAAATAAAATTAAGGGGTAAGAGAGGGTTATACTGGGAGGAGAAAGAGAGAAGTAGAATAGGGTAAATTATCTCACATGAAACAGACAAGAAAAGGCTTTTACAGTGGAGGGGAAATGGGGGAAGGTGAGAGGGAATGAGTGAATCTTATTCTCATAGGATTTGACTTAAGGAGGGAATAACATACACAATGGGGTATGGAAATCTATCTTACCCTACAGGAAAATAAGGGGGGAAGGGGACAAGAGAGCAGGGGGTTGAAAGAGGGAAGGGCAGATTGGGGGAGGGGATAATCAGAAGCAAACACTTCTGAGGAGGAACAGGGTCAACAGAGAGAATAGAATAAATGGGGGGTAGGATAGAATGAAGGAAAATATACTTAGTTTTTACAACATGATTACTATGGAAGTGTTTTGCATGACTACACACCTATAACCTGTATCGAGGTGCTTGCCTTTTAAATGAGGGTGGGTGGAGAGGGAGGAAGGGAGAAAATTTGTAACTCAAAGTTTTAAAAACACATATTAAAAAAGAAAAAAGAAAAGATAAATTTTTTAAAAAAGAAAAAAGAAAATAGCACCTCAAAAAACAGATTAGGCCACATGGTAAAAGAGGCACCAAAAAAACAAACAAAAAAAAAAACCCAATAAGGACAAGACGTCTTGAAAAGCAGAACTGGCCAAATGAAAAAGGAGGTACAAAAGCCAACTGAGGAAAATAATTCCTTAAAATTAGAATGGAACAAATGGAAGCTAATGACTTTATGAGAAATCAAGAAACAATAAAACAAAACCAAAAGAATGAAAAATAGAAGACAATGTGAAATATTTCATTGAAAAATAACTGACCTGGAAAATAGATCGAGGAGAGAATTTAAAAATTATTGGACTACCTGAAAGCCATGATCAAAAAAAGGGCCTAGATGTCATCTTTCAAGAAATTATCAAGGAAAACTGCCCTGATATTCTACAACCAGAGGGTAAAAAAAAATCAATCACCTCCTAAAAGAGATCCCAAAATGAAAACTGCTAGGAATATTATAGCCAAAC